CCGGCCTGCCCTCACTCTTTTTAAATGAAAATCACTAGTCTGCAAGTCAACAAAACTCTAGCCTAATGAATGTGGTGAAGAGGTAAAAAGGGGGAAAGGCTGATGGGTAATAGGAAGAGGATCAGCTATCTTTGTCACCTATGTTTGTATTCTTTTCCTTTGCTGCTTTGTTTGCAGTTGGAGCTGGATGTGTTTTTCATTTGAAATAATAAGGACAATGATAGTTAGGTTTGGGTGAGATTGTGTTCTTACTATTTTACTTTTTGTATTAGTTGGCTATCCTGGGCTGACCTGGGAGCTTAGGTTCCATTTGTAATATTTTTATTAGGAAATCTGTTGGATGTTGCCAGTGGTCACCTCTTCAGAAGTAAACTTTTGGAATATCTAGTAGAACACTGGGATCTGCTACACATAGAAGCAGAATGTTTTATATCACAAAATGAATAGAAAGTGCAAATTATTTTAGTTAAATTGACAAGTGGAGTTTAAAGATGTTTTTTGTCAGAGGTGCTTAAATGATTTTATATTTCTCAAAAAATCAGGCAGATAAATATAAGGTTCTACTCTGTACTTCTTGCCTTCTTAAAGAAGTTAATTTTGCATTTTCTTATTTTTAGTATTATTTTTATGAGTATGGCTTTGATGAGCTAAGGCGGAGACCAAGACACGTTTGTCCGTATGCAGTTGTGTCTTTTATTTACAAAGATGATATACAAACTCTGAAGTTTGTAACTTCCTCAAGGTAAGACTTAAGAGTTTTAGACATCAGCCAGAGTGATAGTATATTACAGTCCTATGCTGCTGAGTTAGGATGAACACTTTGTTTCCTTCCCATTTTTTTAAACTTCCCTTGTAATGAATTGGATACTTAAAGTGTTTATGATGACTTTTAAAAGGTCAATGTGAAGAACAGTTTACTGTGTGGAAATATAAACTAAAATTTACTTAAACCTCATCTGGTTAACCTCTTTTTCCTGGTATTGAAGGTTTATGTAGTTGACTAAATGGCAGTTTTTAAAAAAGTGAAATTTTGTGTATTGGACATTAAATTTGAAATGTTCAATTTCGAATCAAAAGTTTATTATATCTCAAGCAGTATAATTAATCAAAGCATGCACCTAAACTATCAACACTATTTTACCATCTTACTGGTAGCTTGCTTATGCCAACAGCGAAGAAGCCTGGAGAGCGAGTGACAATGAAATCATGAAAGACATTTTCCACAGCTTGTTGAGAATTGAATATTTTTCCTTGCAAGAAGTGGTCGAAAGCCTGGAAGAAGTGGGGATAGTCAGTTGGTGCAAGGTCTGGTGAATGCAGTGAAGGACAGAGAGTTTTTTCCAAGTCCAGCTTCTATAGTTGGAGCAGCGTTGTTTTTCGCAATTATGTGGTCTTGCGAGAGGATTGGTCTTTCTCTATTGACCAATCTCGGCTGCTTAATCACAAGCATCCTCATCATTTCATCCAATTGGTTGCAGTAGACATCTGCTGTACTCGATTGACCAGGTTTCATGAAAGTATAGTGGATAATACCAGTGCTGGAGCACCAAACAGGCACCATTAACTCGTTTTGATGAATATTTGGTTTTGGACTGTGTTTTGGCACTTCATCTTTATCCAACCATTGTGTGAAACACTTGTGATTGTCAAACAGAATCCATTTTTCATCATGCATAACAATATGGTGTACAAATTGTTCACCTTTATGTTGTGACAGCAAAGAAAGGCAAGCTTCAAGATGATTTCTCTTCCGCTCTGTGCTCGTTTAATTCATGTGACACCCATCTATCCAGCGTCTCTACCTTGCCCATTTGTTTCAAACGGTCCAATATTATTGGAATAGTAATTTCAAACCTTGCTGCTAATTTATACGTCAGTTGAGATGAATTTGCTTCCACTATAGTTTGGAGCTGATCATTATCCACCTTCATCTCAAGTCACCCACGTGGCTTATTTTCAAGATTAAAATCACCAGAATGGAACTTCTCAAACCATCGACATACTATGCGTTCATTAGCCACATCCTTCCCAAACACTTCATTGATATTTCGAGCTGTCTGCCCTGCATTGGTTCTGCAACGGAACTCATTCAAAAATAACACGAGTTTTCGACTTATCCATGGTTTCACAAAAATTGCTCTAAAAAAAACAATTTGAAAGATAATCACAAGCCAAAATGTGCATTTGAAAGAATGAGGATGTGCCTTCACAATAAAAAGAAAAAAAAGAAAAAAAAAAAGAAATGTCAAAGTGAAATGTCAGAGATACCAGCTGTCAAACTTAGTACTTAAGGAAATTGGAC